ATACCAGATGGATGAGATGATGGATAACCACTGGTATCAAACTTAGTTTTTACATCATCTTTTATGTCATGATAAAAATCTTTTGTTTGAATCTGATACATTAACGAGTCAGTATCTGTAAATAATAATTCAGCTTTATTATTGTATTTCTTTTTGATCTATCTATAATGAAAATTATACATTAGTGTTTTTGACAAATTTAGAATTGCTTGACCTACGTATACTGGTTTGTTGAAATACACTTCAGTCTTTTTCATATGAACTGCAATAAGATTTTCATCAAATATTGTTACTCTTTCAAAATTAGGACGACTTACAAGTCTTTTAGCTTTGATACGATTATCAACTAATACTATATTCTGTCTTTTTCTTATATTCTCAATTGTTTTTCCAAAAACACTATTATTCATAAGTTTAAAAAAGTCCTTCTCAAAATCATTAGATGCAGACTTTCTAAGTTCTGTATTTTTTTGTATATATGGACTCATCCAAGGAGATTGGTAAAATGATATACCTCTATGAACATTAGTAATCTTCATTCCCATCTCTAAATATTGTCTAAGATTTTTGTAATATACAACATAATTTTTTCTAGGTTTAAAATGACATACTAACTTTTCTACCCCATTAACTTTTATATTTTCAGGTGCAAGTGGATAGTCATTATGTAAACTCCATAACTCTGGTGGATATTCTAAATCTACTTCAAATACCCATCCTTTTCTACCACGATAATTTGAACTATTTAGTATATCAAAAACACTCTGTACTGTAATATCATTTATCCATTTAAACCCATGTGTAGGAAGATTTTGAGACATTGCCCAACCGTATAAATTATTAGCATCAAGGTATTGAATATAAATTGATGGTTTATCAGGATTATAATTAGCCATATATTTGTTATTTGCTTCCGCATATCTTTTTGATATGTGAGTTATACCACCACGTATTCCTCTCTCAATCATCATTAACATATCGTAATCATCTAATAACTGTAATTTCTGTTCTGTTGTTTTAAGACATGCATCCCAAGCTAGTCCGGGTGATGTATAATAATGAGCTGGATCTAGTTTGTAATGGCGGAGGCAAGTTAATCTAAAATTCTCAAATACATCAGCAAGTAATATTACATCTGTCTTAAGATAAAGATCGTGATAATCTCTAATCGATCTACATTTAAATGTATTCCAGACATTGAGTGCATGGTTGTAATCATCATCTGATATTTCCTCATCATTCAGATAAGAATAAAATTTCTCTGGGGGTGGTAAATTTGTTTCTGATAGTTTTTCGAGTGAAAAAACATAGTCATAAGGGTATACTCCTTTACGAGTTAGTAATGATGAATTACTCTTAAATACTCTTTTAGTATTATTTAAATCATCTGGTTTTAGATTACCCACAAGATTGGAAAGTGA